GGGACAGGGTCTCTTGTTTTAGGTGGGGACAGGGTCTCTTTTTTTAGGTAGGGGGCTCTTGTTTATTTTTGGGGTGGGGGCGGTGTCTCCTGTTTGTTCTGTATGTACAGACGCACATACATCCTCATCCGGACGGCACGCTAAGGATCATGGGAGCCGCATGCCACCCTATGGCATTGCGTCACCGCTCCTGTAGCAATCACTTCGAAATTCTCTCGGCGGCCAATGGGAGCGCGTGTGGGCGGAGTTAGCAAGAGACCAACCAGCTGCAGCTGAGCGGTTTTACCGCGAAATCCCGATCGTGGCCGAAAATGGAGACGGATGTGCTGCGTAGACTAGCACCAAAGCTGGGCATCAGCTCCGCCCGGGTCCTGGGGTACGTGTGCCCGGGGGTAACACAGTCAGCATGCCGGTGCAGGAAATGGCCTGGGGGGGTCACCACCGGGATCGCAGCCATCAGCACCTGGCAATGGAGGCAGAAGGAAGCGAGCTGCAATTGTCCATATGTAGGAGCACTAGGTTGAACCCTGCAGTGTTCCTGCATTTGGACAATTGCAACTCGCTTACTCCTAGTTGTAAAAGTCAATGCGAATATATCATCATTAGTAGTATTGACTTTGTCCTGAAGGAGGCTCCATGGTGTAGGAAACCGGCTCCTGCCTGCTGGAGGACTGTAAGTCCCAGCATGTCCTGGCAGGCAGACATTGTCATGCTGGTGGCTCTGGTTATCAGCAGCTATACAGTACTTGCTGGCTTGCTCTGTTCTGGGTGCAGTAGATGTCATATGTTTACTGGGGTCATGGGGGTATTGGTCATGCTGGGGTTTGTAGTTCTTCTCTGCTATCTGGGCTGAAATAGCATGCTGGTAGTTGTAGTCCTGTAATCTAACAGAGGTTGTTGTGGGTATGAGGGGAGGACGCTGCTGGCTCTGTGCTTGCAAGTCTGTGTTGTTGTTTTTTTAAAGAGAACCTGTCAGATAGTCATCTGCTGGGGAGGTTGTCACTGCCCAGCTCCTTGGCACTAGTTTGGGCATCACAGCGCTCCAATAGAAGCATTCCTATAGTGATTCTGGCAATTGGCGGCCATGCTTGTCACAGGTAACCTTTAGCGCACATTCTGCTGCAGAACCACTTGCCGCACCTTCATTGGGTTTAATGGACCCCATAATTGCAACATGTTAATGCATTTAGGTATTTCTTGTTTTAAGGGCATGCTGGGACTTTTAGTTCACCCACCACTGGCTGGATGTAGTTTGCCCATGGTTGCTGTCATGTGACTTCCTGTCTGGTTTTGGGATCTGCCCTCAAGCTGTTGGCATCATGTGACTCTTGATTGACGTTACAGGAAAGCGGAGGAGCTTCTGCGCCTGTCGCAGCTGAAGTGCGCGGGACTCTCGGCCATGACTACGGCGACGAGCAGCGCGGTCATGTGTCTACAGCTCGCGGCTACGTCGCTAAATCACCCCGTGGACAAGGTGAGATGTCGTTATCGGCAGCCATGTATAAAATACGGAGGCAGGGTTCCTAGTAGTACTAGTATCGGTGCCGATACCGAGTGTTTGAGCGAGTACTCGCCCAAATGCTCCGATGCCGGAACTTCCCGTCAGAGGGAGATTTCCTCTGACCGTCAGTGCCCCGAGGCTGGGTGACACCCGGAGCGGTTAGCGGGTGTCACCCCACGCATGCGCGATTACGTCATCGCGCAGACGCGGCAATCTTCTAAAACCTGCCAGCGGCCATCTTGGTGATGGACGCCGGCAGAGAGAGGAGGGGACAGTCACCCAGCGGGATAAGGTATGCCACCGGGTCCCCTCCTCTCTCCTGATACTGTCGGCCGTTCGGTCCATGACCGAGCGCCCGACTTTTCAGAGGGGGGTGACACCAAAATGACTGTCAGTCATTTTGGTGTCACCCGGGTGCGGGCCGCACACCCCATGTGGCGCCACTGCCCCGAGGGAACATGGAGCCGCCTTCCTGGCCAATCAGTCGTTACCTGCCGCCCGGCTTCCTGATTTGGCCGACTCTATCTTGATTGGCTAAGAAAGCCGGCTTCCCATCCAATCCGCATCTAGCTTGGTGCCGGCTTCCCGGCCAATCAACATTGAGCCAGCCAAACAGCCCGGTGGTCATTTCACAGGGCTTAGTCCTTGGCATGGACGGAGAACTCGTGGTGCATCTGATCGGCTCTGCAGGGCTGCCACATGGTCCAATGTTCATAGAGTTCAATTCTCTCCCGTTATTGAAGTCATTAGGGCAGGGATGGCCAAACTGCGGCCCTCCAGCTGTTGTGAAACTACAAATCCCATGATGCATCTCTCTCCGGGAGTCATGTCTGTGGCTGTGGGAATCTTGCAAAGCCTCATGGGATTCGTAGTTCCACCACAGCTGGAGGGCCGCAGTTTGGCCATCCCTGCATTAGGGGGTTTTAACTTAAAGGAGAACTATGGGGTCAGTGTTTTTCCCCATAGTTCTCCTTGGGGTAACGGGAGGACACAAACTAGCGTCCTCCTGTTACCCTAAGCTCAGTATTCCGCGAGCTACGCCGCACCTGGAGCGGATCCCGACTTAGATGACGGGATCAGGCAGAGAGCCGTGACAGAATAGAGAGGTGAGCGAACGCCGGTATGTGTTCTCTCACCTCCCGATCTACTGAGCCGACCTGTGACAGTCTCATTGTCACAGGTCGGCTTAGAACTATGAGGTGAGTGGAAATCACTCACCTCATAGTTCTCCTTTAACCATAGTATGTTCTACTCTCGGCCTTGCGGCTCTTTTTTAATATTCCCGGGACAGTGGGACTGAGCTTGTTCTTATTGTCGATGGGCCTTATGTTTTAGATGGGCCGAGCCACGCTTGTGTCGTCTTGGAAGACTCGTACCGTCTGCTTAAAAAAACCCATTCTTTAGTTCATAACCTTTTTTTACTTTGCGCAGGACTATCTGGTGCGGCTATCGGGACTCAACAGGAAGGTCTACCAGAGCTGCCTCCAGTCCTTTGAGTGTTTGCTTGGCGTGGATAACAAATTGGGCATCCGAGAGTTGGCCGTACAGTATGGCTGCATGGAGGCGGTGAACATCGCGTCCAAAATCCTCAGCAGGTCAGAAGGCAATCGGCTTTGTGTTTTTATAGGTTTGTGTGACTCCCGGCACCTGCCGAAGTTTAAAGGAGAACTATGAGGCGAGTGAAAATCAGTCAGCCTCGTAGTTTAAGCCGACGTGTAACAATAGATCGGGAAGTGAGCGAACGCATACCGTCGCTCGCTTCTCGAGCATCTCCCTGCAGAGAGCCGTGATGGTCACTCACGGCTCCCTGCAGGGATTCCCCCCTGCTCAGATCCCCCAGCGCTGACTGGCGGAACAGACGGGGGAGGGGGCGGATACAGCTGGCTCTGCCTCTAGATAGGCAGAGGCAGCTGTCACTTACGCAGCTGGGCGGATCCAGACATAATTGTCGGGATCCGCTTCAGCGTCTCAGTATACCGCGAGCTGCAGCTCTCTATATACTGAGCTTTGGGTGACGGGAGGACTCTAGTTTATGTCCCCCCGTGACCCTTAGGAGAACTTTGGGGAAAAACACTGGCCCCACAGTTCTCCTTTTAAGAAGACTCGCTCGATCTGGCTTTTTTTATGGTTGGTGGGCCTTCGAATGTTTTCAGGCCCTTCCATGACTTTCTGAGCCGCCTCAAGAGAAAATGGGTTGGATGTATTTTTCCAGCCAGTGATTTTAGGTTCCTGCGAAACAGCTGATGTTCTCTTCCTCCTCCTCCTCCTCCTCCTCCTCTCCCATAGGCCAGACAGCTTGAAGCACATCTGAATGCTTGCTTTGATTTGATTGACATTTGTTTTCCCTCTTAGATATGAAACCACGCTGCCTCAGGCTCAGCAAGAAGATCTTGATCTGTCCAAGCCTTTGTTTATCACTGCTGCGCTGTACTCTGCTTGCAGGTAAGAGGTTTTGGGGAAGAGGCAGGGAGGGGATGATGTGTATATATATCTCTAAGTGGGTACAGTCTATTTATTGCCTTTTCCTTTTATACCCCGAGGTGTCTGAAGCTGAAAGTGGAAAAGAACAAGTTGGTCGCTAGCTCCGGTGTGAAGAAAGGAATATTTGAGCGTCTCTGTACGCAGCTGGAGAAGATCGGAATGCAGATCTGTCGTAAGTGATCTACTATGGTTCCCTATCGGAGCCCATTCACACTGCTGCTTTAGGCTGGGCACACACCTTACAACCATCGCAAGACTTTTGTCTTGCGATGGTTGTAAGGTACTTAAAAAAACGTACGATCTGCCCATCTAGGACATGCGGATTGTACTTGCGATGATCGCAAGCCACGCCCCCCTGAGGGGCGGGTTTCCGATTAAACCGCAATACTGAACGGCCCGTCCGGCTTTTATCGTACGAACATGCTACACACCCGCCAAACATCGTACGACGCTCGGCGGGTTTTCGAACATGTTCAGGTCCCCTCACACCTTGCGATAATCGCGGGATATCCCGCGATCGTACGGTTATCGGAAGGCGTGTGGAAGGCGTGCGACCTCTGCTACTGTAAGGTCGCACGACTTTTATCTTACGAACATGTTTGAAAACCCGCCGAGAATCGTACGATGTTCGGCGAGTGTGTAGCATGTTTGTACGATAAAAGCTGGACAGGCCGGTGTTCGCAAGCGCACACTGCCCGTTCGGCATTGCGGTTATCGGAAAGCCCGCCCCTCAGGGGGCACGCCTTGCGATCATCGCAAATACGATCTGCCTGTCCAAGATAGGCAGATCGTATGTTTTTTTAAGTACCTTACAACCATCGCAGGACAAAAGTCTTGCGACGGTTGTAAGGTGTGTGCCTAGCATTACAGTGACATGCGTTCCATCTGGCGCCATTCACTCTACATTGCACCCCAATGCACATTGCCGACGGCTGTCGTGGTGAGCTGCATATAGGGTACGTTCACCTTTTTGGTGGGCAGCCCATTCAAATGAATAGCAGCAAGTATAAGAATAAAAGCGCCAAGACACTGCTTAATAGGCCAGATATAATTTAAAGGAGAACTATGGGGGTCGGGGCTTTTCCCCATAGTTCTCAGGGTAACGGGAGGACACAAACTAGCGTCCTCCCGTCACCCTAAGCTCAGTATACCGCGAGCTGTAGCGAGCACTAATATATGACGGTAACATGCTAGCACTAACTTATCATATCTGATACAGTGCAGCTTCCAGAAACTTCATAAACTCCAATAAAACTTCCCCCAAAGCGTCTCCCTTAATTCTGTCTTCTATCCCGGCAGGTTGACTTTCTCTCTGACAGCGTATACATGCCTTTTTACTGACATGGTTTATATCTCTCTCATATACAGAGGAAAGCACGGCCATCACACAGCAGCCGCGGAAAAAGCAGAAGACTCTCCTGGAATGTATAGAACAGAACCACGGTAAGATTGACCTGTGAGGGAGGCTGGAACCTGAGTAAGGCTGTGAGGGAGGCTGGAACCTGAGTAAGGCTGTGAGGGAGGCTGGAACCTGAGTAAGGCTGTGTTCTTACTATAGTAGTAATAAAAGCAAAACTGGATGCAAACGGTTAACTGAAAAACATTTTCCTGTTTAAGCTGACAAAGGATCCTTTTTTTTTTTTTTCCTGCCAATTATTTTGTGACTTGCAAATACTTTCCTCACTGCACAGCCAGACTGTTGACACTCGTACCTCCTGATTAAGCAACTTATCTGCCTGGTTTGGACTTGCAGTTCCATAGAAAACGTTGGTAGGGTGTTGGATACCAGAGCGGGCAAAGCTCAAAAGATGGAAACGTGCCTACATCATGCCATTACTTGCCGCATGGGAAAGGGATCATTACAGAGGCTCCCACTAGTGGTAACATGATGAAAGCAGATGACACTGGGAGGAGATTTGCTCTGCTAAAGACACGGCCTGTGAGAAGGTCCCATTGCCACAGGCTCCATCATTAGCAGAGGTAATCTCCTCCCAGTCATGTGCCTACATCATGCCAATAGTCGCAGCATGGGAAAGGGATCACTACAGAGGCTGACACTGGTAACATGATGTAGGCACATGACACTGGGTGGAGATTTGCTCTGCTAAAGATGCAGCCTGTGCTCTGATCCCTTCTCCCAAGCCACATCTTTAATGAATGTAGCTGCTAGACTCATTCACCTAACCAACCGTTCAGTGTCTACAACCCCCCTGTGCCAATCCCCGCACTGGCTTCCATCTCCCCTCTGCCAATCCCCGCACTGGCTTCCATCTCCCCTCTGCCAATCCCCGCACTGGCTTCCATCTCCCCTCTGCCAATCCCCGCACTGGCTTCCATCTCCCCTCTGCCAATCCCCGCACTGGCTTCCATCCCCCCCTCTGCCAATCCCCGCACTGGCTTCCATCCCCCCCTCTGCCAATCCCCGCACTGGCTTCCATCCTCCCCTCTGCCAATCCCCGCACTGGCTTCCACTCGCCCAAAGAATAACATTCAAAATATTAACAATGACTTGCAAAGCCATCCACAACTCCGCCCCCAGCTATATCTCAAACCTGGTCTCAAAGTATCACCCTAACCGTCTGCTCATCCCAAGACCTCCTGCTTTCCAGTACCCTTGTCAACTCCTCCCATCCACGCCTCCAGGACTTCTGTAGAGTCTCTCCCATCCTCTGGAACTCTTTACCCCAACCTGTCTGTCTATCTCCCACCTTGGTGCCTTTAGGCGATCCCTTAAGACTCGTCTCTTCAGGGAAGCCCATCCCACCTCAACCTAACCGCTCAACCATCACTTCATCCCCACACAGCTCCCTCCTCATGTATCACTTCCTCCTCCCTTTTAGATTGTAAGCTCTCAGGGGCAGGGCCCTCCTTACCATCTTGTCTTGTATTGCATTGTGATTGTAACGTCTTCCTTATATTGTAAAGCGCTGCGCAAACTGTTGGCGCTCTATAAATCCTAAATAATAATAATAAAGCAAATCTCCCAGTGTCATGCGCATACATCATGTTAACAGTGGGAGCCTATGTAGTGATCCCTTTTCCCAAGCTGCATCTTTTGGAAGCATTTCCACCCAATCGGCCGTGGTCTGGGCATTCTCCACTCCACAGCTTCAGGTAAACAATGGGGCGGGATGCTTTTGCTGACATAATTTACCTTTTTATATGGCCACATAACCATATTGGGTCATTTTTCATTTACCCAATATAGGCATCTAGCCATTTGGGGACATTGACATCACTGCATCCCGTGCCTTTGCTTCTGTCAAGCTGCAGCATGGAAGGAGCTCCCCTTTCAGGTTTGGAAGGGGCTCCCTTTTCAGGTTTGAGAGGAGCACCGGTTCTGACTGTGTTCAAGTTCCACTTTTCTGAGCTCTCTTTATTGACCTCCGCTATAACATAGTTTATTGTAACTCCCTTTTTGAACAGCATTGGTGTATGTTAAAGCGTCGCTCCAGGCTGAACAAAAAAGTAACCCTTGCAGTGCAGTCCCCGAGACGTAATCTGTCATCTATTCGGACCCGAAACCTCCATTTTGGGTGGACTGGCCCTTTAAGTGGGTTATATGAGGCACACGATGTCCTCAATGTTCCTTTTTGGTTTCTGACAGTGTGACATTTCTATAGCTACGGCATTCCCTTGGTTCTCACAGCTTGCTCTTGTCTGCACAGATTCGGAGGAGGTGGAAGAAGAGGAGTTCCCACGCAAACAAGTGCGCTCCGAGCCAGAAAGCAAAGAGCGAGACTACGAGGAGTGGAAGAGGAAAATACTTCAAAATGCCGCAAAAGCCGCCAATGGTGAATAGCACCCGACAGATGGACGTTTTCAGGTTCATTCAGCGTTACTGAGCAGGTAGTGATGGTGCAGTGCTCCAGAACGACTAACCTGAATCGCTTTTGATCAGGTCATTTTTATTTAAACAATTGCCGATTAGCTGCTACGGGTCACCTTGTACAGTATGCTTTGCAGCACGTTCCCAAATAAGTCCGTAGAGCGGCCGCCTTCTCTGAATGGACATGTTGCCAAGAAGACTTGCCAAGTTATTGGACTGTTTTTTATAGTTTGATGGTGTTATTAATGACTGGGGGTCAAAGATGGGATTTCTGATCATGTGATCACTGTGATTGGACGTCATGGCGGTCACATGATCGGGAGCCTGTCCCGCTAGATCCCAAGCGTACACAGTGACCGCGCCAGTGAGCACGGAACAGCGGAGCCTGCTGATGCATTATGAGTGACGGAGATTACTCCGGGTCAGGACTGCAGTGCAGTGGGAAGGGTGCAAGGTGTGTGTATAAGTGGGTTGTGTTCTTTTTAGAGTTTCTAAGTTTCTTCATACAACAAACAATGTTTTAACTGTTCTTGATTTTATTGCGGTTACATTTTTACTTTCGCCGTTGGGGTTGGAATCTCCGCATCAAACAATTTCAGAGGCTGCGGGCGCCAGTCTTGAGTCTGAGAGAGTGGGGATTAGGCAAGTAAAAGTCCTTTTACCCAGGTACCCTAGATCTAAATGAGCATTTTAGGCCTCATGCACACACAACGCAAGAGCAAAATTGTACATTGCGTATGTGCAATCCCAGAATGCATCATTCATAATATGAATGAACTGTACGTGCGTATAAGTGTGTAAAATACGCTGCCCGGGCGCATCTCGGGTCCATTCTATCTTTACGCTACGCAAATATACGGCTCCATACGCAGCTATGTGTATGGAGCCATTTATTTGCATATGGGACAATACGCGCATATACGCAGCGTATTGTACGGCAGTGTGAATGAGGCCTAAACCTTGCACAGCTGGGACAGCCCTACTACTTAAAGGAGAAGTATGAGGGGAGTGCTTTTCACTCACCTCATAGTTCTAGCCGACCTGTGACAATGAGACTGTCACAGGTCGGCTCAGTAGATCGGGAGGTGAGCGAACACATACCGGCGTTCGCTCACTTCTCCATCCTGTCACGGCTCTCTGCTGTTACAGGGGAGGGGCTGGATTCCCCCCTCCCCGCTCCGATCCTCCAGCGCTGACTGGTGGAATGGGAGGGGGCGGGTACAGCTGGCTCTTCCTCTAGATAGGCAGAGCCAGCTGTCAGTCACGCAGCTGGGCGGATCCCGGCACAATTGTCGGGATCCGATTCAGCTGCGGCGTCTCAGTATTCACAGCTACATCTCGCGGTATACTGAGCCTAGGGTGACGGGAGGACGCTAGTTTGTGTCCTCCCCTTACCCTAAGGAGAACTATGGGGAAAAGCCCTGACCCCATAGTTCTCAGAGTTTTTTTGTTTTTCCAGGAGCCTCACCTATCAAAAAACTGAAAGGAAGATTAAAGCAAACCATTTAAAATTTAATCCAATTTTCCCACCCGAAAGCATACGGCATTTTGATTTCTTTTTCTTACCTATTACATTTTTATTATCAATTTTTCTATATTTGATTTTCTGAATGATGCTCTGTACAGGCGCCTTTTTAGTTGTTGTAAATATATTTAAAATCTCTTTAACTCTATTTACCTTGCCCCCTATGGCACACACTTGCCGTTCCCCCCTCTGCTCCGTTAGACCGATCTGTGTAAGCTCCATGCCGACTTGTCTAAACTTAAGGTGCCCAAACACTGCACGATTCTCGTACGAGAGTGGCGGGAAATCCCGCGATTGTACGAGAATCGTGCAGTGTATGAAAGGCGTACGACCGTTTTTACTGTACAGTCGCACATCTTTTGTCTTAAGGAGCATGTTCGAAAACCAGCTGAAAATCTTACGATTTTCGGCTGGTTTGTGGCATGCTCGGGGAGACAAATGCCGAACGGGCCGGTGTACGCACACTGCCCGTTCAGCAGTGTGCGCAAGTCAGTTCAGCAAGTACGATCTGCCTGTCTTAAGACGGGCAGATCGTACGTTTTTTTAATTACTTTACAACCGTCGCAAGACTAAGGTCTTGCGATGGTTGTAAAGTGTATGGCCACCTTTACACATGGCTTTTGGACTCCCTCCCCGCTCCCATGTGATGGTGCTGGGCCAATCCTGAGACGGCAGTGGCGTCATGTAAAAAAGGGGCGTAACTACTGCAAATACCAGAAAGTAACGGGTGTCTGTCTCCGCGCCCGCTGGTGAAGTGAATCATAGGCAGATGTGTATTGCCGGGTGTGAACGTGTTGGGGAAAATCGCATTACTTTAATGAAGGTCAAAGCAGATGATGCTAGTAATGGCGCGTCGCCTTTTAATCACTGTTGCTAACATTTTAGTTTGTTTTATATGTCTGTTCAGAAATAAACATATTTAATTCAGTTTAATTAGTTGCTGCGTTATGGACTAATTTCTAGGCAGGAGCAATGCACACACGTGAGCTAAAATATTTGTAACTCAGTTCAGTCGCTCTGATGATCCCTCCTGCTGGGTAAGGATGGTCGCCTCGTCTGTGCAGCATCCCGTGTCACCTGGCCTGTAGCTGCGCTCATCATTATACCACAGAGAGCCCCCTCCTCTCACCTCCCTAAACACCTCTGCACATTCTATAATACAGCTAGCAGAAGCACTGGGTTTTTTTTCTTTTTTAATCCAATGCAAAGCAACCCACAGATGGTAAGTCGGCGATGTAATCCAAAATGATATAAAGATGGGCGCCAGACTTGGTCCAGAAATTATTTGCAGCATCTGTTTAAATGTCAATGCATTTTGAGGCTCATACCGCCCCCTTCAGCAGTAATGCTGAAACTAGGGAGATCCGACTGTTCACATGTAAACTGGTGCTGGTATGAGTGGTGTATGGTTGGGTGACATGGTGTCATATTTTTGTTTATGATGTATAGATTTTTGATACAATTTCACTTTTTATATTTTTTTTTATCCTCGGACATTTCTTGCTTTTTGTGTGGGGATCTGGACATTGAAATTGGGTTTCTTAAGGAAATTTGGGAGCAATTATGTTTCCGAGGCCCTCAGAACTGATGGTGAGCATTAATAAACAGGTCGTGGGGGGTCCTTTTAGGGTTGGCAATGGACATTGAGGAGTCCCTTAAAGCTGTAGATGGCCATTAATGAGAACATGTAGATGGGGGGAGGTCCGTTAGGGTTGACGATGGACATTATTGATCACGTAGTTGGGGAGGAGTCCCTTAAAGCTGGAGATGGCCATTAATGAACATGTACACTGGGGGGGGTCCCTTAAAGCTGGGGATGGGTCTTAATGAACACGTAGATGGGTGGGAGGGGGTCCCTAAAGCTTGAGGTGGATGTTAATAAACACAACAGTTGCCATGTGGTGGATGGTCTTGTCACACACATACACGGCTCGTCCGAGACAATCAGTAACGCAAAGTGTTCGCTGTAAAATGCGCCTCCTGCCCTCACGCGAGGGGGCATGCAACCGTCTGACATGAGTTCTTTTAAATGTCTTCTTTACCCCCTCGTACCGCAGTCCTTTTTCTCATGGTCCTCGGCACTGTAATTACCAGCAACAAATCAGAGTGCTCCAGCAAAAACATTTTACACAATCTCTCTTTTATTAAGTTTACAAATGACATCATCTAATCACTAAAATCTGCTACCAAGTCGCAATGCCCTGATTTTATTTTCACTGGAAAAAAAGAACTCCTTACAAAAAAAATAATACAGTAAATAAATCTTTATAGTTGTGACATTCGTAGCGGGTTAATGCCCATGTCATGTAAATTCACTTAATAGAACATTCTAATACATCAAAAACTTTGAGCATTTATTTTTGGTTTCTTTTTTTCAGACCCAGAAGAGTCTGTAATATTTTTTTTTTTTTTTTATTCCATCATGCATCCAAATTTTTGATTTTTTTTTTTTTGGGGGGGGGGGTAGAAAATTGTTTGTTTTTCTTGAGCAGCAAAATTAAATACTCAAAGTACCAGAATAGGCCAGATTGGAAGAGATTCCTATTAGTTCAACAGGAGAAACACTTTTTTTTTTTTTTTAGTGGCTCAATCCTGCTACTAAAATCGCTGGGGATTATTATTTTTTTAGGGTGTAATCCTAAAATAATCACCAAAGAAATCTAGCAATGTTAGAAATTAATCTATGGATTCAAATAGCAGGACTGAGCTACACAACATCCGCAGTGTAGTTCCAGCCTATTGAGGTGCCAGCAAGTGTTTAATTGCCCATGTGGTTTAGTCCTAAAGTTGAACCTGTTCTGCATGGATAAAAATTAAAAAATCTTTTGAAACTATGAAAGCAAAACTTTTTTCATTTTAATAACATATGGAAGGGTTAAAAGTTAAAACCACTTATTCGTCTCATTAGGGAGCTATCCCTTCACTTCCTGTCCTGAACACTCTCAACAGAAAGTGAGAGGGTCTCCTTCCAACGTAAGGTATAATCCCCTTTTGGAAAGTTGTCACAGGCACTAGTGTCCCCATAAGGTTTCCCTTTCATTCCTGTTTGATGGCAACTCAATGGTTTGGCTTTGCCCATCACTTTTCATACCAGTTGATAAGGACAATTAGAGTGAATGTTGCATATAACAAGGAAGACCTGACAGTGGTTCCTACCCTTCTTGGTGGAGAAAAGCAGATGAAGACATTGGCAGAGGGAGCACTGCGAGAGGTAAGGAATACATAGAAATGTTACATTCGCACGTTACTTAAAGTGACATTAAACCCTCAGATTTTTTAACATAAAACAATACTGTAATGTGCGCCTTACTGTAATCCATGGTAGTTTCCCTTCTCTTTGCTACTCTTCCTTTTAAATTCGTATCTCTTCTCGTGCTGGGGAAGAATTTCCATTTGCAGCCGAGTGCCTCTTCCTGTAGTGCTGGCTCAGGTTGTGAACCTACACACCGACAGCATGTATCCATTTCAGAGACAAGGCAGTCTGCTGCAAAACAGAGTTCTGCCCAGCATGAGCATAAATACGGATTTAAAAGGAAGAGCAGCAAAGAGCAGGGAAACTACCATGGATTGCAGTAAGGCGCACATTACAGTATTGTTTTATGTTGAAAAATCTGAGGGTTTAATGTCACTTTAAAGTTGAACTTAACATAAAAAAATATATCTGGTGACAGGTCCACTTTATACAATGGTCAGGGTCTATTTGATGATGATGCAACAAAACTGGGATCAAATAATCCCTAGCAACACATTTTATTTAACGCTCAACTGTATTCAAAGCATTTATTAGTTTAGGATAGAGGAAGGGTTAGGGTTAAACCTATTAGAATCATTGACAGTGGTCTTCAAGGCACAACGCCTTCTCCACCAAGAGATAAGAATGCACCTTGTACAATATAACATTAGCACTTGGCTAATCCTGTTTTATAAAATGTTCATCATGGTTGAGATATTCAGTACTTGGTATGAAGGGACGGTGGTATGAATCTGAGGATCTGGAAGGCCAAGGGTGAAGATCCC